TTACATTCAAATAAAATATAATTGTATAAACGTATCTACACTAAACAACTTATAGAAAAGATTAGGAGAAACCTTTCGATTTAAATGCCATTCTCGACATTATTATTTAAGTCAACGAACTGACCCAAAAACAAGAAACAGGAAATACGCGAAACGTGTACATCATAAGGTTTCTACAGTGCAGGACTTTATACAAGAATGGACTTAAACACGAAGACAATTGTAGGCAGGTATTTACCTTAATAGCAACGTTTTAAATAGATTGAGACATCTTTATGTATTGCTTTTGACGGTAAGTGAAATGATAACTTTATAAAATTATTTTCTAGAAATCTTCGCTGTAGTTTATGTAAAGGCTTATTATATTCTACATGTTTTTTTTTTAGATTTCTGGTTCTTTAGTTTAAAAGACAAGTAAGGACTGTGAAAATGTTCGAAACCTTCGAATTATTCAAATCTAATACTGGAATTTTCAAATAATTCTAATACTTCTAACTAATTCCATGTTTTTTCTAATAAATATTTCAATTTCTTAATTATTTTTTAAAAACAAGAAAAAAATGTACAGCGATTGGAATTTTTTTTGTATTTCTCAAAACCCATCAATTTTTATTATTAAGTTTGTTTAAAAGTGTATGTTTGGAGTACGGCTTTGTATGGATGTTACAGTCAGATAGACGGATTATAGTACTAGATTAAGTTCTAGATTCTTTATCTCCTAAACGGTTTTTCCTACAAGAAAAACTTTATGGTTTAGTCTGTACAAAGATTACGTTTCGAAATGTTCACCTTTTTGAAGATTCGGCGGCCTTTGACCCCGCGCAACTGACCTAGTCATAGCCAAATCGATTAGGAACTTTCACACATTCTATCTTGAACCCAAACACACTAAGACGGATGCAAAAATTTAGCCCATTACACATTTTTCCATATTGTTTGTCTATTTTTCCTGAATTTCATTTACAACTTGTACCTACTTCCAAAAAATTTTAGCTTACATTACAAAATTATAAAACTTTATATTTAAGGTAAATACAATTACCTTAAAAAACAAATTCAAAGAATGGATTTAAAATAATAGGTGCAGTTTATCTATTTTAATAATTACCTACAAAACACTTTTTGGTTACAATATAACAGACTATACCAACAAATTGTAATCAGCACGAACTAAAATTAAATGCTGTTCGTTAATCAACGCACTTGAGAACGACTGGACCGATTTGACCAATTTTTTAAGGTTTTCAGGAAAAGAAAAGTTGACGTCTGTAAATCTAGCATTGTAAACTAAGCAAATTGAATAATTTTCTGCTGAAAATTTAGTGCTAATTTAGTGTCAAAGTTAGACACCCTTTTGGAGATTTGGAAACCCACACAATACATTGAACAAAAGCTAACATTGTCTACACCAAAAACATAAAAAGAATTGACTGGAGAAAAGTTAATCACGGATCAAACTACTTTAAAATAAAGGGCATTGCCTATTTGATTTGAGAAATGTTGAGCATCTAAGAGCTACATTTTCTTCTTTATTATTATTAAGTGCTCAATAAGTGCTGATAATGTACGAAAAAAAAGAGATGAACAAAGTTAATATTAATATTTACATTGCGAACAATGCCGGAAAATCTAAGATAAGGGGACTGTCTATTTAATTCAACAAGTTCTGAGTATCCAAGCAGTATATTTTCGTCTTAGTTATTGAGTGTTCAATAAGTACCGATATCATCATCATCATAAGGTCGTCAGTCCTAAGACTGGTTGAACATGCACCTTCACTCCGTCATTTCTCATTTCCTTAAAACTAGAACATCCCACATACTTAACGATTTGCGAACAGTAATCTAATCTAGGTCTACCTCTACCCCACTTATCTCCTACTTCTGCCTCTAATATGTCTCTGACTAGATCTCGCCTATTTTTTATTGATTTCCATAGAGTCCTCTCTTCTCCTATTCTTTCTAATACCTCTCAATTTTTAACCTTTTCTATTCATGCTATCGTCATCATTCGCCGGTAACACCACATTTCGAACGCTTCCAACCTCTTCTTTTCCGCCGCGCCTACCGTCCATGTTTCGCACCCGTACAGCGCCGCGTTCTAAATTAATCGTTCGCGAGCTCTCCTCTGCTTTATATCCCTACTACTCCTTCCGGCCTGACTTATCTGGTTTCCTAGATACCTAAAATCAATCACTTCTTCTAATCTTTTGTTTCCTATCTTTATATTCGCTCTTTCCCTACTTTTTCTTCCCTTGCATACCAGTATTTTTGTTTTACTTTTATTAATTTTTCGTCTCTTGAAATATGTGTAAGTTAATTAGTGCCTTTTCATGATCTTTACCTTAGCCCGTGAAAAGGAATGCGATGATCCCTTTTGGGTAGAAGTAGAAGTCTGCTCACTTCCTATGTGAAAGAATTAGACCTACATAGATTGATATTTACAATCGCTTGTAGAAAATTATGACATGAGTATTCATCAATATTTTAACATTATTTAATTGTTAATTTACGATTTACTATGTACCTAGTAGGACTAATACAATAATAGAATATCGGTTCTTGAGACCCTATTATTTCCTGAACGTTCTTCCAGTTCATTTTTGATACCGTATTAGAAGT